ATGAAAGTTTGAAGTTTCTAAAAATCGCGCTGATTTTTGGGAATTTTTTGTTGAAGGTTTTTCGCATTTTTGCTTACAAAGAATTTTCGAATTTTTTTCTACTAAATTTTATTACACTAAAACTTAATGGGCTACAAAACTACATACTCAAAAAAATTCTAAAAAAATCTGATCAAACAGTTGAAAATTTGCATGAAAATTTATTGAATTTTCCGGAGTTTTGCACTTAGTTAAGAAATTATATTTTTAAGTCTTTTGTTGTTGTATAAACCATATTTTTATAAAAAATTAACGAAAACAAATTATAATAAAAATTGTTGCACTTATTGTGAAAAATTCTCTGGGCCAATTCTTTTTGCCGTGAGTGTATGTATCATTGCAAATGTATGTATGTGTGTACATAGCTACATATGCAAAGCCATTTCTTACTATGTTTTTATGCTGTTGAACTCTTTTTCTATATTTTTTTTTCTGTGCCGCTTTTAAGTTTTCTTAACCTTTTTGATTTCACACCACTTGGACTTTGATTGAAGTTCAAACTATCGTCAATTGAGTGTGGCTAGTGAAACAGGTTTTCATTAATAGATTTACCAACAAATTATAAGTTAGCGTAGTGTGATCAGCAAGTAAACAGGCTGCTGATATACGTGGTATGAATGCATTGTTGTTGTTTTTAATATTTGAAAAAGTTGTTGTGTTTGCCATAAAAAGGGGTGTAAGCTTATAAACTGGGCATAGATATATATGCACTGGATACATATTTAAACATGAATTAATGCATGTGTACGCAGTGGAACCTCGATATAACGAAGTTGAAGTGCTTAAACAAATGCTTCGTTATACCTATAGTTTCGTTAATTTTGTAGAATATCAAAACCTCGAAAAAAAACGATAAATGCAAATTTTAGAAAAAATTGGTTAATATAGTAGTTTCGTTTTTTTTTTTTTTTATGGGAGTCTAACCGTGGACATAATGGGAATTCGCTATGTCGACACTTCATTATACAGAAGCGAAAAAAAGTGGGGTGTATTCGGGCTGTGTTATATGGCAGTTAGAATCCATTAATTCCGCTCAATCACTGATGTGTTTTGGCTACCAAATTTAAATTATACAAAAAAAAAATATTAAAATGTTGAAAAAAAAATTATTAAGAAATATATTTTCTTTTCTTCGCAGTAATCTCGCCTCCCCCATCAAATCATTTTACAAGGGTAAGAATGTCTTCATTACCGGCGCCACTGGCTTTGTGGGCGTCACCATCGTTGAGAAGCTGTTGCGTGACATACCCGAAATAGGCACCGTCTATCTGCTGATGCGACCCAAAAAAGGCAAAACTGTGGCGCAACGCTTGGAAGAGATACGCAAGAATTCCGTTTTTGACAAATTCAAAGAATTGAAACTCGATGAGAAGCGTTTCGATAAGATTGTAACCATAGAAGGCGATGTGGGTCAAGAGCATTTGGGCATCTCCGAAGCGGAACGGCAGGTGTTGATCGATAATGTACATGTGGTATTCCATTCGGCAGCCACATTGGATTTCTTTCAATCGCTCAAAGAGACCACAAACATTAATTTGCTTGGCACACGGCGGGTAGTGGAGCTGTGCAAGCAACTAACGAAATTGGAGGTGAGTGTAAATTATGTAATTGGCAAAGTGAGCAAAATGGAAACTAGTTTTTTCTTATTATTTTTATTTTTTACATGTTTGCATTATGTGTGTATTCACTTTGATTTTGCTTTTAATAATTTTCTCTTTGCACTTTTTTGCTTACAGGCTCTTGTTCACGTTTCTAGCGCTTATGTGAACTCGTACATCACTGAAGTTGAAGAAAAATTATATCCAGCTCCAGATGACCCTGAAAAGGTGATACACTTAGCTGAAACGCTGAGTGATGAGGCGCTCAAGGAGTTGGAGCCAAAGTAAGAATCAATTTTTGTTTTTATAGAACGGCGAAATTAATTTTAATTGCACCAATATAATTAATTTTTTTGTTATCATTAGATTGTTGAAAGATCATCCGAACACGTACACGTTCACCAAACACCTGGCCGAACATGAGGTGGCCAATGTGGCTTCACGTTTTCCATGTGGCATTGTGCGCCCAAGCATGAGTATGAAAAAACTGTTTTTATTATTTTTTAGCATCTTGTTTATACAATTAATTATTATTTTTTATTCGTTGCTTTTTTATATATATTTTTTTATTTTTTTTATTTTTTGTTTTCAATCCATTTTTTAATGTTGTTTATTTTTATACTGTTATGTTTTTTTTTGTAATTTTTCGTCCTATCCCAACCACACAATCTACTACTAGTTAGTTCACATTTATTAATTACATATATCCGCTCCTCCCTCCCCACAGTCACCGCTGCCTGGAAACAGCCCACACCCGGCTGGACGATATCAAAGAACGGACCACAAGGCTTCTTTATGGGCGCATCTCGTGGCATTTTGCGTCGTTTGCCTTTAGATCCGACCATCATTATGGATTACATACCGGTTGATGTAGTGGTGAATGCAATTATCACAACCGGTTACTATGTAAATGCGCTCAAGTAAGTAAATTTGTTTAACTACAGGTGGAAACCTTGCTAGAAAGAGCAAACTCAGTGTCTATTAAATAGAGCCGGTAGTCAAATGAGAAAAAATGTGCAAAGTGGTCACGCAACTATAGTTGGTGGAGGGCTATAGTTAAATATTAGCTAACAACCACAGGGTATATACATATATACGTACATGCATATGTTTGTACATAATCATATTCAAGTTTATGCGAATAGTGTATGTACTTTTGTTTTTGTTTACTTGACAATTTTATAGACAAGTTCAGGCATATGGCGGTGTAAAAATGCCGGCTAAATGTATTAACCAATATGTATGTATACAGTGGAATTTGCATAACTGCTTTGAAATGGAGATTGGGGATTAAAAATCAAATTTGTACATATTTGCATGAACAAAGATGGTTATGGAGAAGATTTTTTATATACATACATACTTTTTATATACCTAAGAGCCGTTTTCGGTAGGAACTTTTAAAATTTATCATCTGCCCTTTAAACAAAGTGGGCTCTCAAAAAATGTGCCCAAAAAAATTTTCCTGAATAAAATTGAAAAAAAAATTTTGTAATTTATTTTATTTTTTAATATTTCCTATTTATTTGTTTTTTTTTTCTATTTTTCTATTGATTTGTATTTTTTCTATTTATTTTATTTTTTCTATATTTTGTCATCAATTTTATTTCGCACACTACCTCAATTTTCACGCAATGCCATTTATATGGCCCCTAAAAGCATACTACGATTTAGACGCGCATGTGTTGTTATTGTTGTTGCCTATAGTGCGGTAGTGAATTTCCACACACACAAAGTATTTCACTAATTTTAGCGGTTAGGTAGTGGATGCTTTAGCTCAAGTTGTTAAGGCGTTGACTGTAAGCGTCGGCTGGCACGCGCATGTTCGAATCGCAGCACCAGCGTTTGTTAAGAAAAAATTTATCACAAAAAATATATATTTACACAGATTTTTATACGAAGCCGCTCTATTTGGCCGGATTTATCCACATATGGAAATATCCGTTAATGCAAGAGCAGGCAGATTGAAGTAAGGAGGGAATTACGCCTTCGGTGCCCAAATAACGGTTTTAAATCCGTGGGTTAACTATCATCCTTGTTTCCCGCCACAATTTTTTTTTTTTTAATATAAAAAATAAAAGATATTAAGAATATTTTTCACTATTATTTTTGCCGTAATTAATAGTTTTGTAACTTTTCAACCTCTTTTAACTAAGTGTGCACTATGTACATATGTATCCTTAAATCAAATATAATTTTTCGTGTTGCTTCTATTATATAATAAGTAAATAATTGTAATTTACTTACTTGCCGTTTCAGAGTCAAAAATGCCGGCAAGCCAGCTGAGCTACAAATCTTCCATCTCACTTCCAGCACCTACAAGCCATTCCGTTTTGAGTTTTTAATCAATAAAATTAATGCATACCTACACGAATATCCTTTAGTTTCTGCTGTTTGGTAAGTTTTTTCAGCAAATTCTTCTTTAACTTTACACTAACTGTGCGCCTTTTCTTCCTTTAAGGTATCCAAATCTAAAACTGGTCAAAAGTCTATTCCTCTTTCGTATAGGCGCCATACTTTTTCATTTTATACCAGGCTTTTTTCTGGATTTGGTCACTAAACTCAGCGGCGGCAGACCTATGTAAGTAGAATTTTTCAAATCGGGTTTTTTTCTAACTTCTAATATTTCTAACCCATCCTTCCATCAGCCTCATACGCCTACACAAAAGCGTCTGGAACTCATTGAATACATTGGAGAAATTCATTTTTACTGAATGGCATTATGACAGCAAACATACATTGGCCCTATCGAAGCAAATGGATCCACGCGATCGTGAAATATTTTTCATTGATATTGGCGATTTAGCTTGGGATGATTACTTCCTTAACACAATTATGGGTGTGCGTCAGTATCTGAGCAAGGAATCACCAAAAACCTTGAATGCTGCTAGAAAGAAGGATAAGATGTGAGTTCCAAAGTAAAGTATCGATTGGTCGTACACATTACATTCTTTCTTTTTCTTCAGTCTTCTCGCCTTACACGTCGCCCTGCAGTTGGCTTTCTATTATGGCATTTGGAAGCTAGCCATTGTGGCTTTTGGCTTGTCTAACGCTAAAGCGGCACTTATACTCCCGGTTGCATACTTCCTCGTGGGCATGATTTAAGCATCACTTTTAGTAGCAAGAGTTTAACATTTACATACTTCTTTATTTAATTGAATTTTTTTGGATTCGCTATACATGTTTGTCCTGAGTAATATCATGCGCAAATATTGAATTGAATTGATGCGCTCTTGAATTTTTAATTTAATCTTAAAGGTAGGTTTGGTTTATAAATAGTACTTATTTGCATATCTGAAACCTAAATGAATAAAAGTGTTTTTGTATACTATGTACGTATGTGCAAAGAATAAAAAAAAAGTATAAAAAATGATGAAATCTATGCATTACGTTTTCGCGTCTTTAATTTCGCTTTCGGGTTCCTGCTTGGGTTTTTGTATTTCACTCAACACCTCCTTGTGCCGTTCCTCTGCGCGCTTTTGTTTGAAAGTCTTTTTACCCTTTCGCTGATTTGGCGCCTGTCTTGCTGGTCTGCGGCCATGATCCAACCAATCGCGTATAGCACTTTCAGCCTCTATGTGCGCAGGTATGTGTATTTGTCGTATCACCCGTGGACGCACCATGAACTGTTCAAAAGGATATTGTTGTCCATTACGGTCAATAAAAACGACATCACGCAAGTTGATATTCATGTAGCCGTCCGTTCCATCGGCATCAATACGCCCAGCCACAGAGTTTTCGTTGAGCAGATCTATCAGCACGGACTGGCCATCTAGCAGAAATGGTATGCAGTTGAGAGTATTGGTAACAAGGTAAGTTTCCTTTCCACTTGCTTTTTGCATATTTATATCTAAAAATATGTATTTATTTATTCCCGAATACGAGTTTTCGTTTAAATCATATTTCGCGGAAATAGTCAATTGGAGCTTGCATTTCGCGGGAATCGAGTATTTTGACAACTGTCAGCTGACTGGTCTCGTTCACAATGAACGAATATGAAAAAGATTTTGGATTGGTATTTAAAACTTTCTTCACAAAGCTCATATAATTTTTCGCTAGCTTGTAGTGCATTAAATAATCTGCTAATTAAAAATTTCAGATATATAGATTTTGGTAGGCGTTTTACTCAGTATTCCTCAAAGCAAAAATGAATGCTTTAAGCGATTTCAGAGAACGTAAATTTATACTTTACGTTCTCTGGCGATTTATAGCCTTCAAAACTCAATGAGGTCATTGTGAACGATTTTTTTTTTGGCAAGAAGCAGGTAGTAAATAAAGCACGAAATAAACTACGCTGGCAGAGGTTGAAAAGAAATTTAGTGAAAAATTAAATAAATTCTGTAGCTCAAACACTTAAAATAATGGACACGGAGAAGGTGCATGAAAAAACGGTAGCTGAAAAATTGGCTGAACGCAAAGAGCGTTTACGTGAATTGCACAAACAACGGCAAGAGGCACGTACGCAGAATCATCAAGAAGTGATAGCTGAAGATGCACGCAAAAAATTGCCCAACAACTGGGAAGCACGTAAACGCCAAGCGGAATGGCTGATGGCAGATGAAAAGGCACGCGAGGAAGCTAAGCAGCAGGGCAAAGATTATGATCGCCTAAAACTCTTAGCTGTTTCAGCAGTAGACGCTGAGCGGATAGAGAAAAAAAAGCGTAAAAAGAATCCTGATTTGGGCTTCTCCACATTTGAGGCGCAAACAGCGCGGCAATACAATCGCTTGGTAAAGAATTTGCCACCACGTGACATGGCCAAGTACGAACAACAGAAAGAGGAATTGGGTGAGGCCTTCTACGGCGGTCCAAATACTATTTTGCAAGGTCTAGTGAAAGATAAGAAGTCATCAATCGATAATATGGCAAAGGATTTGGAGAACCAAATAGAACGTAGAAAGAAATACTCGCGCAGACGTACGTACAACGATGATGCTGATGTTGACTTCATCAACGAGCGCAACTCCAAATTCAACAAGAAATTGCATCGTTTCTATGGCGAACATACAGCGGAGATCAAGCAGAATCTGGAACGTGGTACTGCCATTTAAGCGTCCTTTGTGCAAATGAAATAAATACATATGTATGATTTCTACATATAGTTCATGTTTAGTTGTAACATAAATAGAGTTAGGTATAAAAAAATATTTTTTAGTACGCTCTTTTGCCTTCATTTTTGTTAGTTTAGATAATATTTCTGAGTTCTTGCAATTGTGGATATCATTATTTTCTACTATATACCAAAAAATCTTTATCCGCACAGTATTTCAAAGATATTGAAAATTCTCCAGTGACAGACGTTCAGCGTCTTTATTTATTTGCGCCATCGTATCCTCGGATATAATGCGCACCGTACCTTCTTCCATATCATCATTAGGACTATCATCCAGCACACACAGCAGAGTGTCATCTTCATATGTAGGGAAAAAGTACTCTGGTTTGTCCCATTGCTTCTTGGTGCCGCAACCAAAATGTTGCTCGCTGACCATGTGTTCCAGTAACGTGTCCTGAAATTCAAATATATGTATAATTGATGAATATTTTGAAATTTCCCAAAAGTCAGATGTACAACATACTTGATTTTCGCAGCGCAAATTGCAGCTAACACAGCGCTGGAGGCATATCTGTCGTCGTACATAGTTTACGACTTTGATTCTCTGATAAAAGTTTAGACCCTGCAATACTGCTGCGAAATTTACGCCATGAGCTGTTAGCATATGATCTTTTAAGCCATCAAAGCTTTCTTTTTGTTCTTTACAGTAGAGGCAATTAAGTGGAGACATTTTACCTATATCATCATCCCAATCAGACCAATCTGAATCGCTTTCATTACTTTGACTGCGTATTGCAAAGCGTCTTTCAAAATCGGCCTCCGGTGATGTCGCCAATTCGGGCGAACGCACCTCAGCTGCCGCTACTTCTTGGTGGGTACTTTCTTTATGCAATCTCTTTTTAACGTTATGTTGTTTACTATGCTGCTGTGGTTTTTGTTTCTCATTACGATAGTTTAACAGGAAGAATCGATCATAATCACTATTATTAGGATTGATCCGTTTATGTGCTTTCTTACGCATGTGCTCTTTTAAAGTGGAACGATCTTTAAAAATCTTTTCACAGTAGAGGCACACTAAATTCTCTAGATTATGTTGGACTTTTGACAGCAATTCATCAATATACACCAAGTTTTCGGGTTTACCTAATTGCAAGAAGTGTTTGTTGAACAAATGTTCAAGAAAGTCAGAGCGCAAGCCAGTAATAACATCCCGACAATACAGGCATTCTTTTGTGAAATCACGATCGGTGCGTTCAAACTGATGTTGTGCCAACGCGCGTTCCAGGCGTTGCTGCTGCAGTTTGAATCGCAGTTCATAATCTTTCGGTAATATATCACTAAGTAGATAGTATCTTTCGTTTTTCGCAGGTGTTCCGTCGGGCAATTGGTCCAAAAGCATGGTGGTACAATACTCTTCCAGCTCATGCCCTACGAAGGTAAGGCACTTATTAATTACAGTAAAAAAAAATATATATATAAATATCACAGAAACCTTGTAACTCTTTTTGCCAATATTTCAAATACTCATCTAGCAACGCCACATCTTCCACATCGGCTATAACCAAACGGTGCTCCATAAACAGGTGTGCAAGGTAGTCGTCTTTGGCGGTAGGAAATTGATAAACACAATCGCACTTGAGGCATTGTATCTGGAGAGATTCGGGAGTGGCTGCTGGTGGCTGTGCAGATTTCTGGTTAAAAGTTAAAGAAGGCAGTACTTCGTTTTCCAAATGTTTTTCGTCCATTTTGTAATGAAAATAGGACAATTAAGTGGTTTTTATTTTTAGGCATAAGCCCAATACCGCACCAGATGTAGGAATGTCAATAGAAAACAGCTGTTCCAGAGAACGTAAACGTTCTCTGGCTGTTTGGGATTCAATAACAATAGACGATCGTACGGAAAGACGAGTGCAGATAACGTAAATTTATTTATTTACGTTCTCTGACGAATGAAAATGAATTGCAAGTTTGAAAGCGATAAAAAAATTAAAAAATTATCTCAAAAAATAAGTTTTTTCACGTCTAAGTTTACAACTAAATTAATTTATTTAATTAAAATCATTCCAAAGAACCTCCATTTAGAGCTCTCTAATTCTTTTCGCGGTTTTGGATTTCACCTGTTCTTCTTCCACTTTCTTTGGCGATCTCAACTCTACACAATTTTTGGAGATTTAAAACGTCATATGATGATGACAGAAGAATAGCAATAGGAAAAAATAAAAACTTTTCATTTAATTTCCACTGGATGAAAATGTATTTCTGTTCGCAAAATAATCGTATTATTTCATAAAACTATAAAGTAGAAAGTTTGTGGATCCGAAAGCAAAGTGTAAACAACATTGAAACGAAAAAAATGTTATATTAAAGTGCTAAAAGTGAAAAGGGAAACGCACCTCAAGTACGCAAAACGCAATCGCAGCAGAAACGGCAAGAGAAAAATATAAACTACGAATTGTGAAAGGTAGTGATCTATAGAAAAAATTGCACACAAGACTGGAAAACTAGAAATTATAGCAACTAATTAGGTATGTACTTTTATATAAATGTTTCTTGAACATGTTAAATAACTTATTGCAAAGATTTCTACTTTGGTATATAGTAAAACGTAATTTACCAAACTTATGTGGAAATACAACGAATGACCATCACTGTCACCAATAAATTTATTCCGTCTGAAAAATTTGCACCCCCCATTGACAACGAAACGAAAAACAACAAATGGAAATTCTGCTGATAAGTAGAGTAGCACCATGAACCAATTATACGTTTCTTTCGTGGTCTTTCAAGTCTTTCGTTCATGGAGTAGCACGATCCCCAGTTCCTTATATGTATTTGCGCTGATATATTGTGAAATCGGCACTGAGGCTGGAAAGGGTATATAAACTATGGTAAATACATACATACATTTGCGAAGATGTTCAGAGCAATGTAGATAAGAGAATTGGTCGTCTTTGTCTTCAATCACTGCAACGAAATTTGCTTTTTTAGTTGCGTTCCAAATGCTTCACGATTTGCAGGTTTATACAGGATGCCTTTCCATGTGACCACCTTCAATAAGGTTTATTAATGGAGAAAACAACTTTTCCTTCAAATCCTGTAAAACTTGCAAATCGGGAAACTTCTGGAACGCATCTTTTATGTACTTGGGGATCTTTCCTTTACGCACTACATACATATTTCTCAACGTTATTAAGCAAAACAGTAGAAATAATAGGCAACAATAAGGTATGCACACCACTTGTTACTGAGCAAAACATTTTTTCCAAGCCCCACCATTATCTTATTTTTCCAATATATGTATATTGTATGAAAAGTAGCTCCACATACATACATATGTTATGAGTTCAAATTTGCGTGCGTAAATGCAAAATGTGATATGTACATAAGTAGATACATACCTAGATATGTACGTTCATATTTACATACAGTATTGGACATAATTATAGCACCCCCATTTCAAAGAGATATCTATTGTTTGCCACTTATGTTCAATTATGTAATTATTTTTAACAATTTTCAATTAAAATACATGTCATTCTCTAACAAAACACATATAAAGCAAGTTTAAAACTGTGCAAAAGACTACAAAAAAATGCAAAAAATGTTCACCCGAATTTAAACTTTTTCTCAGATATGTTAGAGTTTTTTGCGTACTCAGTTTTATAGCCCATTCAACTTTAGTCTGATAATGTACAACTTTCAAGTGGCTAAAAATTGCCGTTGATTTTTTCGAATTTTTTGTCGCATTTGCTTCCATATAAAGAATAAACGCATTTTTTTTTATAGGAAAGAAACCCGCAACACTTTCGGCAAAAAAAAATCAACGGTAATTTTTAGCCACTTGAAACTTGCACATTATCAGACTAAATAGCCCCGTCAAGTTAGCTCAATAAATAGGGGTAAGCTTACAATAATTCGCATAGAGCTGAAAATTGGTACGAGTGTTGGGGGCAAACAATATCACTTCGAAATTGGAGTGCTATTGTATTGGCCAATACTGTATGTGTAAACTTGCAAAATTTTCGCTATGATAACGTTTCACGAGTCCGATTATCTCGTACGCATGTTCTTAAAGAGGCCTGAGTGAAATTAATAAAATGAAAAATATGGAAATTTTTTGGCCTAATGTTTATTATGTGTATTATTAGGTACTATAATCCTATATAGTAAGTAATTGCATTTGAGATTCATCGCTCAAATTCTTTACATATTAAAAAGCTTCCCTAAAAGCTGGAGTTTCCAATGCAGTTGGTTGTAATTGCTTTGTTTATTTCCATTGTCTTTATTTACTGAATATATGTATATATAAAATTCAATTATATACATGCACATATGTATACTTTGTATATATGTATATTATGTATGAATGTTTGAATTTTTGTATGCTTGCTGATGAAGTGTTTCGCTTGAACATTGGCAGCTGCGAGAATTGATTATTGTTTGTACTTTATGTACAAATGTATTTGCTGTTGTAATGCAAGTAAGCTTAAATCTGCATTTAAATATGCAGAATGTATTTTTTATTATTTCAATTTATGCACGATTGCAGTTACATACATACTTAGTATAGTAGGTATATCTTTTTAAAATAAAATTCTCAGCAATTAGCACTTTCACTGTTCAATTTTTTATGCACAAAAAGCAGAGCATGTTCATTTTGCTGGCGTAGGACTTGATTTTGTATACATTGTTCTTCCTTATCTAAAAGTATGTAGTACAAAAATAGTTATAAACGTCATATATGTATATTAAATATTCAAACAAACTAAACAAAGAATCAACAACTATACATGCGTATGTACATACATACATACATACATACGTATGTACATATGTGCACATTATCAGCTCATTAATAAACACATTTGCTCTTATCACAAAACAAATTTCTCGGAATCGATAAAGCTGGGCGACCACAAACACTTGTTGAGGCACAAAAAAGCACTCATTTTTTCCTTATATATTTCGATATACCTATTAGCTATGTAGTTTAAATGTTCAAAGGCAAATTTTTGTTTCTTTTTTTAACCGACTTCAAAAAAGGTGGAAGATGGTTATCAATTCATTGGAATACTTTTTGTATTTGTTACCGGATAGCTTAAGACCACGTGAACCGTTTTCGATTATTCTTTTTTTTTAACGAAAAGGTGGTCAAGGGTGGTCTCTTGACATATTAAAAATACTCCTAATTTTTGTATGAGAATTGAGTGAATTGTATACATCGTGGAGATTGAATTAAGGAAACTGGCCAGAAAACAAAAAAAAATCGTTATTTTCCCCCTGTTAAAGTTTGAATTTTTTTAACTTTTTCATCAAAACTCATCAAAATCTGGAATGTTTAATTAATTTCTCATAAACTATCAGGCCTGTCGAAATTGTGTCTAAACTTAAGTTGTTTGCATTACGGACGTCGTACAGATTTTTGAAATCATTTCGGTAATTCTAGATATACCAAAACGACAATTAAGCATGGGGCGGAAACATAATGGTGTGGGGACGTTTTTTCTGGCAAAGAGTTAGTCCTTTATTTTGTATAAAAGACACAATGGCCGCTGTTTAGTATAGGGACATTTTGCGACATCATCAAAGCGAAAACGACCCAAAACATGCTTCATGGTTGGTTCAGAGAGGCAAATGCCGCCTGGATGCAATGGCCAAATCAATTCTCTGGGGTTCTACTACATTGGAAACCTGTAAAAAAATACAAGCCATGCCTAATGAATTTGGCAAACTTATACAAAACCATGGAGGATATAATGGTTATTAAAAAACAATGGACCGAATAAAGGATAAACTGAACTTTTTGTTTTTATTTATAACGTAAAGATTTCAACATATTTTAGTTTAATAAAGTAAAATCTTACAGCCCGATTCTGGGCACTTGATAAATTCAAAATTTATTCATTTTTTATTATCAAGAATTGGGATTCTTGCACAGAAATCAAAAGCTCTTGATAAATTATCAAGATTGAAAATGCTATTGACAAGCGTTTACAAATTGAAATTTCATGTGAAAATTATAATTTTTGTATATTAAAAAATGTATTTCTATCATTTAAATCCTACATGTGCCGGCATTTGAGCCTGCGACCCACGCAATTAAAGTCGACATCTCTACCTACTCGGCTACGGCAGTCAAAAGCTTTTTGCTTTTAAACTCATATTTTTCAATGAAATCAATTCACCTCATGTTGAAATCGTAGAGCTTTTTATTTCATAAATATTGGCACAGAATGCGAAGAGAGCTTTTACTTGATAAACATCTTCTTAAACTTTCTTTACAAATAATTTATTAAGAAAACACAGAATTAGGCGGTAAATATAAACAAAGAAATACGTTTTTAATTGCAAATGCTTTAATGTTATCAAATAAAAACTATGTGCACTTATTATTTTGTCCATAGGTGTATTTATCGATGAAATTTTCGATATCTAATTTATCGGTAAAGTTTTCGATATACATATGTATGTACATAGGTAGATATACATAACCTTATCGATAAGAATATCGATACACATATATAGTTATCGATACTAATTTCTATATATTTATCGACAAACAATTCGAAATATTTATCTCTACAATTTCGGTATATTTATCTATGTCGATATATTAACTTATATTGGCTATTTGTATTTTGTTTATTTAATTTTTATTATTTTTTCATAATAGTATAGCTGGTGATACAACAAACACAAATTAATTCAGATTTCAATCTTTGAACAAAAATAATAAAAATTCAGCAAATTTTCTCCAAAATTTCAAACTTTTTAATCAGAATCTTTAGAAAAAATCTTGGTATGCAGTTTTGTAGCCCATTTAGCTGTGTTCTTCCATAAGTTTCCTCTGCCTATTGTAGCTCACTTGAATGTTGGTTATGTTTAACGCCTTCATAACATATGTCTTTACTGTTAAGTCGGGCCATGCCTTGACATTCTAATAAAAGATAAAAAGTAATGGTTTTCCTCACACATCTGCAACGCCTTTCTTGCCCGAAACTCCCAGTCATATAATTATTTATTTTACGAACACTTTATGTACACATATATATCTACATACATTCATACACACATACATATGTATTTTTATGTTTGTTTTTATTTTTGGGCCAAAGCGAAAGGTAAAACAGTTCGCTTTTCTCCAAACGCGAAAGTAAGTCGAAAAGGCACTGCATACAGCCGTGCGTACATAGTGTGTACATAATATACATACAGTGACGACCAAAAGTATTGACACAGAATTTTTGCAATATATGAAAAGTTTTTGAAAATATTCTTCTACACCAAAAAATATAATGTATGCAGTTATATAGCCTTAGATATAATCAATACGTAGCTTTCGAAAAATGAGAAAGTCGGGCATTAAAAAATTATCGGGTACTTTAAAAAAAAAATAGTCGATTAAGTTCATTTCCACATGTCATTTTTTTAAATGGCATAAATTTTTTATCATTTCAATGCCTAGTGGAAATTCGGCATAAGCAAAAGCAGAAAAATATCGTACTTTTTTAAAGTTGCCATTTTTCAAACTTCAAGGCACTTTCGGCACGGGAAGGAATGTTCCGATTGGGCTCAAACTTTCACAATTATATTTGTTCACTAAATAGTACATAGCGACACGTGAGTAAAGATCTAAAGTCGATTTTTTTTAACCACTCTAATGTAAATACTGCATGTGTATATAGAGTAGCAGAAAATTTGAAAAGTACATAAAAAAAAATTGGAAAAGAGATATAAGAAAATATTATGTCTAATGACGTCAGATTGGTATTTGACTGACGTCCGAAATTCCGCAGAACGCCTCTTCAAAAATCGATCGCTGCTGGGCTGCTCGCAACGCTCGATCGGTTGAACGGAAAACCGGCCATAATAAAGTTGGCGGCTGTTGGCGTCGGTTGAACATGTTTGTGCTTATTTTTAATCATTCCCGTATAATTGTACGTACTACATACATACACCTGCGTTCAACTAATTAGAAACGAAATTCAAAATGATATTGTTTTCAAATTATGTTAATTTTTTTATACCCGAGCGCACTTGTGCACAAGGGTATATTAATTTTGTTTACATAACGGTTGTTTGTAACAGCCAAAACGAATCGAGATAGATATAGACAAATGTATACATAAATGATCAGGATGAAAAAATAAATCGATTAAGCCATGTCTGTCTGTCCGTCCGTCCGTCCGTGTACACGATAACTCGAGCAAAAATTGAGATATCTCAACGAAATTTGGTATGTAAGTTTCCCTTAATCCA